TTCGAGGTTTTGATTGTTATTAAGACAACTCATTATGCCATACTAGAAAGAAAACATATTTTTTCCTTTTTATGCTATAAATATTTGAATTTTTTTTTCTTAGTTTTATGACTCAATAAGAGTCTTCAATACCACCACTACCATTGTTACGTAAATATTTGAATGATGAAAAATAAATAAAACTATTACGAGTACGTCATTAAAAGTTCAGAAAAAAATATTAATTGCAATATAGCATAATCACTGTAAACGATAAAATTTTGTTGTTGAACAATAAAAAAAAAAAATGTTTTTGAATCTAATTTAATGAAAACCATTAAACTCTAATTAAAAAGAAAAATTATACTCATACTATATAGGTAATATAATAATAGTATATCTGTTCGTTTTGATTGAAAAATGTGTAAACATTATTGCGAATAAGATTATAAATATAATATTATTGAACATACGAAATGCGTACCACCACAAAGTGTAGGTCGATCGAATAAAAAAATGAAATAATCTAGTGGTGGCCTGCACAAGTTGGTGTGCCTTATATTATTATATAATAATATATTGTGTGGTTTGCGCAGTGTATGCTGGTCGATAACATCGACGTATCCGTTCGGGTTTACGACAAAACGGAGAAAAAGAAAATAAATTGAAAGGCTACAAAAGGTCGGAAAAGTCGGTTCTTTTTTCCTCTCCCTTCCTCCGTCTTTCGATTCAAAAATCTAGCAACATACATTACGTATATATTATTATTGTTATAACAATTCGGGTGACAGGTTAGGTTTTGAGGGGTGACAAAGGAAGAGCGATAAGAATGATCACCGGGGGTGAATGGGCCGAGGGGCAGTTAAGGAGTGCAAGGGGATGCCGGGGAGGGTGATAAAGAAGAGCAAAATCGGCGGTGAGGGGGAGGCGTGGCAATCTGGATGGCGCTGATAAGACGACGCCCGTAGTTACCGTCGAGAGTAGCCATGGCAACTGACTTTGCGGAAGCCGTCGCCGTGTCATACCGGAAACGATGCTACCTCGGAGATTTTCTCGTTACAGCTTTATATATTATATATATATATATATATGTACATCGCATAATGTATATACTATATATACATTATATACATTGTACTCGGAGGATAGGGTTTTCGTAATGAGGACGAAAACGTATTTTTTTAGAATGTTTTTTTTTCTTCTCGTTCCAAAAGCTTCTACCTAAACTTAGTATGTAAACTCATTCAAATCTTCCTCGGGGTTGATCCTGTAGCAGCAACCTGCGACGTTGGTACGATGCGTGCTGATAGAGGTATCTACCTGCGTGTCAATAAGTGCAAGACGTGGCAAACGTTTAACCGATGTAAAATATAAACGACACAAAATGTGATTTTACCTACACTCACCGGCTGCAGCATTTTAACTACCTAGGTTTATGGTTAATTCATAAATGCTGAAAAATTAATTGAACACTGGCAATGATTAATGTACCCACAGTGTTATGTCAAATGTTTATAATTATTAAATATTTCATCTGTATATTAAATAATAATAATAATAATATGAGCATATTGTTTTATGTGCGGTGACATTATATTCTGATTAACTGACCAAATGACAGTCGCATACGGCTGGATTTGACAACTTTAGTATAACTAACTACCGTCGAATGATGAATTCGCTTTCACTGTTTATTTAATTGAAATCGAAATTTTACGGAATTAATTATTATGAAATACGATTTTCAAGTAGTAGCAGTGGCGTATGTATACCTATACTGTCATTTTAACAGTTCGATACCTAATAATAATAACAAATCATGTTAACTCGGTTCCATTACGTCATTGTTAATAAAGTACATTAATTATTATTCGATATTCGATTTATAATCTGATTTTCCCGAAACAAAAATTAAAACACAATATTAATATAATTTAATTTTGTCAATGTCATATTATTCGAGTACAGCAATGACGAGAAAAACGTGTAACTGGTCACCAGCGTAACTGCAGAGAATCCGATGAGAAATAAAGTAGCCGATGAGCCCGTGAGTTATATATTCGTGTGATATCTATAATATTATAGAGGTACTTACCAGGCGCTATTACGCTGACGACTCGACTTATGTTATTACTATCAAACCACAGCCTCTGGAATTAGATAAGATGCTGCACCTATCCACCCATACCGCCTGTACCGCATAATATCGTGAATCAAACCAGTTGCGTCGACGAGTGACGTAACGTATTTTTTGGTTGAAATGCGGTTTTTTATTTCTCTAGGTCACCCGGTTCATTATTTACGCATTGTATAACATCATAATAATATTATAATTTAAAGCAATAATGGTCGTTTTACGATAACGTGACAACTAAATTCCCGCACTCGGTACACAACTACGATTGTCCGTATACACACGCCATACCTATATACCCAATATTATACTGTACCCATCAGATATTACATGCAATATTGTAACACGTTCAAATAATATACTTACCTATCGACGATATTGTGATCGTTTTCGGGGAACCCCTCGAGATTTTTTTCCGTCCTCTCTCGTACTCCGTCTGCCGCGGCCGTAAAAACAAAAACAACGACGCCCATATTATATCGGTTTCCCATATCACGCACACACCGTTCCCTCTCGCTTTCACCCCCTCCCCCTCACACTCTCTCGACGGCCCTCGCCCTCTCTCGTTCTCTCACGCTGCCTCTCTCTCTCTCTCTCTCTCTCTCTTTCTCTCTCTCTCTCTCTCTCGGGGCATTAACTTTATTAGGAGCGCGGACTGGTGAGCGCGTGTCCCGCACGTGCACCGGGCCGCGCTAATCCCAGTTTAGTCACCTCGACGTAGCCGCTGGAGCACCCGTAATACCCGATTATCGTCGTCAGTGAGCCGCTCTCTCTCTCTCTCTCTCTTGCGCGAGCGAGCGCACGCTTGTGTGTACTTAGGGGATGAAAAAAAAATAAAATAAAATACTGCAAACGCCGCACGACGACGATCTTTAGTTTTGATTTCGCCGCGTAATCCGATTATCTTTTAGTGACATTTTGGCACCGTTAAACGCACTTTTGCACCCACACAAGTCGGGCGAGCGCGTGCGCAATAGAGAGGCAGAGAGGAGGAGAGAAATGTTGCTTTGAGTGGGCTCGAGAAAAGGTGACTTGCCCCTGTCGCAAACCGTATATAATCGTGATTTAAGTCACGATTCGTGGGAATTTCGATTCCCCTATATTATATTATGTATTGTATAACAATATATATATTATGCTTACACTCACACACATGCATCATATCTATCGAATATCGTTAAAAATATTTACCTATGAGTATTGCTTAAATGTACATATATATAGATAGCCCACTTTAAATTATAAAAAACAGTTAATAAGAAATAATACTTTGAGAGTCTGAAGCCATGGTCAAAACCACGACAGTAACCATTATTGTCACTATAATATATTTGTGTTATTCTTTAAACAAATGTAGGCTAAAAATCTTTGTTGTTGAAGCCTTAATAAACTTTATATATAAAAAAAAAAATATATTTGTATATATGGCTTGTACCACGGTCGTGTATACGGTTACCTATTACTCGGAGGAGATGTACATTAACTAGTTTCCTAGATATACTGAACACTTGTTATTGTAATTAATAAACAAATTAAGTTGATACGCTATCCTTTGTTTTAATAATTATTTTTATCTTTGAATTAGATTAGTCATAAGAAAATTCGGATGTATAAACTATAGGGCACCAAATTGGCTCTTGGTGAACCTTTTATTGATCATGCTTTCTTACTAAGCATTCGACATAACTAGAATAAAAAAAAACACAAAAAAATCGAAATAGTCTATAAATAGCAACAACTTTTTGCTGTGCAACTTTACTCTGCTAAACTTTTAATATTTCCAACTAATTAACTAATAATCCGAAATTGTGTTTAGATTTTATCCATCACACTACTGAGACAAATATTCTATGAAATATGAAATTTAAAAAAATTTGTGACATTCGGAAAAATAAAAAATATTAAAACTACTTATATAAATTATACTTATATGTGTTAGTATATTACCATATATTATAGTATATTATATTATACTATATTACTTATAAATTTGTAAAAATATTGTTTTATCGCATGACACCTAGATACGTATAGATAATGTTTTCAAAAAAGTAAAAACTTTTCGAAATAATGAGTGTAGATACTTAAGAAGACAAGTAATTTGTAGTTTTGTAGTGTGATATTACTAAAATCACCAAATTTTTTTTTGTATTTTTCAACAAATGAGTGAATATTTTTAAGTTTTTAAACTTTTAAAAACGATTTAGCACAAATAATATTCTCCTCTGTAACCTGTAAAAATGTAATGATTTTACAACTCTGGTTAAAATTACACCCAAGCGACACATATATAGCAGCGCATTCTACTGGTCAATATTATGGTTACTACTGACCGGGTAGCGTACCGATCACTTAATATATTTATATTATAACATGTCCAATTAATTATGTTTCACACGATTAAGATTAAGACACGGTTTTAGAGGAGAAAAGTTGTAGTTGAATCAATTTTGAATATAATAATAATTTCATCATTATTGTTTCGCGTCCCTCTTTTTCTTATTATATTAAAATATTATAATCTCTATACCAAGAAAAGCACTAAAATAATGTCGGACAAAGTTTCTAGTGGACAGAAATAGATAAGTAGGCTAAAGAAATTTGAATTTAGACGAATGTACAGGATAAACTCAACCATTCGTTTGACTCAGTCGTTATAAATTGCGGTGATAGATAAAAATATTATTGGTACCTACGTTAAATGTAGTAAGTGTACACCTTACACTGTACGCGTTATAACGTGCTCGGATCATACTCGTATTACAGGAAGTATATATATATTATATTAGTATATTGTTTGCATTGTTCTTGTAGGTAGTAGATAAAATAATATGAGTACGAATTTGTAAACGTTATCTGACATTATCAGTTTCCTCAAATATGTATAAAACGGAATAAAATACTCAGTGAACGTTTTGACCACGAGTCAATTGTACCTGCTGGTTTTTATTTTTATTATTCTTAAAAAAATCGTTTAACTATGAAACTATTTATTTCCATATTTTGGATGGTCCTGTGTACTATGTCTATATTTCAAGTAAGTTTCTATGTAACCATACCGACCTTTGTCAATTTTAAATTAACAACTTTAAAAATTAAATTTAATGACTTTAAATGATGAATACATTTGTATTTATTTGACGTTTTAAAACGAATAACTAGATTATTGTTTACATAGCCATATAGATATCTTTAATTAGTACCTCATATTTTAAATCATTTTATGTTTTTCATTCATCTGATTTATGATGAAAAGATTTTTTTTCGTTCATTAATTTTTAAAATGTTTCAGCACACTAGGTGCTATTACAAGTACGATATGATGAAAAGATACATACGTTTATTATTATTTTGTGTATAATATATTATTACTTTGTTGCTATTGTATCGTAAATAATTATTTATATTATATTGAACATCGATGTATTTTATTATTTTAATAGTTGATAGAACAATATAATATGCAATTAACACATCAAATAAAAATATTTTTTTTTCAGAATGGGAGTGCATTTGCAGGTAAATGTGTTTTTTGCAAATTTGGATCCATCTTGACACCTGTTAATACATCGGTGGTTTCCACAGTAAGTAATTTACTAACTTATTGAACATACCTACGCTATTATGATAATTAAAAAAAAAATAGATAGGTAGTTTAGGAATTCAGAAAATTAATGATTGACAATTACGTCAACATAAAATTATTACTGTGTTATACAGTGACCGAGTATGAAAAAAAATTCTGCTCAGGAAAACTATTTGACCAGCTTTCAAATTCGATTTATCATGGATAAATGCAGTGATTTATATGGAGTATAAATTCTTGCTTATTTTTCAATTTTATAGAACATGTTCCCCTGAAATTAGTACGTAATTACTAAACAAATATATTCATATTTTTCACATTAAATGAACAGAATATCGTATTACATGTAAAAAAAATAATGCATGTACCAATATTGTTTTTTCTTTAATAAATCACATTAGTTTTTAATAATGTTAATAAAATGCGTCTTCGACACACATATTTTTCTGTGTGACTATAAAGCAAAACCATAAAATAGGAATGTCGTCTAATTATTAATTATTATAAATAACAGGTCATTGCCCACTTCGGTCCAAGGCCTTACGGGAATAGTCTCACCTGCATAGTCCGCCACTGAACTTGTTATATTCCTTTAAAACTATTAATATCTAAAACATTGCTCACCTAAATTGTATATTTTTTTGTTAAATACAATTTACACAATATGATGATGCACAATGTTTATTTCAGAAATTAAACACTGATAGACTGAAGACACGGCATTCAATGACAGTGTCATTACAGAACTCGATTATTGTAAAAACTGTAAGTATAGCAATAGTATTATTTTTGTACAGATATAATGAAAGTAACTTAAAAAATTTACATTTTTCAATCGTAGTTTTTTTTTTGTTTTTAATAAACCTTAAGTGAAACTTAATATGGTTTTTTATAGAGCTTGGACCATCATACTGAAAACGAGTTACTGACTTCCATAAAATCTGCCGAAGATCTTATAAAATTCAGTTCCCAGAATTCACTGGCCGACTTGTCACCGGAAGACAAGGAATCTCTCGTTATAGTCATAACGTCTGTGTACGGTCATATTATGGATCCGCTGCCACCCGCCATGGTCTTAAACTTGGTCAACATGTTCGCGTGTTCTCCAAAATTGCTCTCAACGATTCCACAGCCATGTCTGATTTCAGCACTTTCGATATTGGCGGTCAACCGATGTGCACTGTGCGAAGTTCCCACAAAAGACAGTGTCCTATTTTTAAACGGATTGCTGTCACTGTCCCCGGGTGTCCTGAACAGCATTCCGAGGGGAAGTTTCATATCCATAGTGGGAATAGTGAATACTCCCGAATTTTTCAACGACTTACCACAATCGTCTGCAATTAACTTGATCACTGCGCTATCTATGTCTAAATCGTCGATCAAGTGTCTTCCATTGCCGACTTTAGTGTCGTTACTGACGTTCATGGCCTCCAAACCACCTACGGAGTTGATGATCAGAATGCCTCCTTCCACTCTTTTTGGTTTTCTGGACGGCCTGTTGGACACCCTGGACGAGTCTTCACCTTTCCTGGTGAACACAATTCCGACTCCGGTGCTCGTCGCCATCCTAAATCCTGTAATGAATTCGCGCATGTTGAGCGTCATGCCAATGAGTACTTTTGACTTGTTGTTTTCCGTCCTAGGATCGTCACAAGCGTTATCTAAATGCTTACCAATTTCAAATTTCCTGTCAATTTTTAATATTTTAATAACTTCACCTAAAATATTGAGTTCGTTAAATCCCAATAATGTCGCGAAAATGCTATCCACGGTGGCGTCATGTCCTTCAATAATGGACGGTCTACCTTCAACTTTAATGCTCCAGTTTTTAGACTCGATAACAGTTTATTTGCCGTCTTCTCTGGCCTGTATTACGGCTAACGAATATTCATTATTGTTCGGGAAAAAAAATTAGAAAACATATTTCAATGCTATTAAATACCATATTAAATATTTTATCAAAAATTAGTTCAAACATATGTATTATATTTTATTATTTAAGTTTCTATAATTTTTTTTTATATTTAAATTAATTTATCCTTTATGAACTATAATACTGTAAATTATACGTAATTTCATTATGGCTATTTCATTTAGATTTAAATTGCAATATTTTTTTTATTTTTTATTTGTAGTGAATAAAACCCACTATATAGGGCCATTGGGATTCAATTTTTATTACAAAAAATGTTCCAAATTCTAATATCCAAGTAGATAATATTACAATATTATTATTATTTTTATCGATAGTAGTATGTTTATCTATAAGTAATAGATTGTTTATATATAGTAATATTTATATATAAGTAATAATTATTGAATTGGAACACTATCTTAAGGATCTGAAAACCATATAAAATATTTTTTAAAACCTTAAAATGGTATTTTTTGAATTCATATTGTCTTTATTTTTCAATTGTTGTGATTATATTTTGATATTAGAAAGAGAAAAAGTCAGTTATGAATAAATATTAAGTATTTTGTAACAATTGAACTGTAAACTATAGATTTAAAAATATTTGTATCTTACAAATATATGGTTAATGATTATGAATGAATAAATATGTAAGATGTGTAAGACTTAAACATGTACATTAATAATTTGAACATTCACTGTTGATTATTATATTGGAAATATATAGCTGCATATACCTAATTTTAACATAAATATTAAGTTGAGGTAAATATAAAATGCTTAGAACCGGTACATATAATAAATTACTTAAGATAATTATTGTGGATGGGTAGTGCGAGAGTTGTGTTGAACAAATATCTTTCTATGATATTATTTTACCATTAGATGGGTATAAATTTTATTTTTTGTAAATATTTTGAAATACTTTTACTAATTAGGAAAATAAAAAACTATTATTTTTTGTATTTTTAGTTTCTGAATATTTTGGAAAATTTCTAAGGTTCTAAGTGTCTTCCTTTTTAACATCGACCTTACACTGTACCTTTATAAATCATAATTAAACAATTGTTAAGTCTAGTAGCTACACAAATTTAATACAATTTAAAAATCCATCAAACCTTACCAAGCTTACAATTTCAACCAAAATTAAACATTTTAATTTTATAAAGTCAGAATAATAAACTAACATCATAATCATAATTATTGCTCTTAAAATACTAAGTACTCACATAACCTTAAGACAGCTTTATCACAGACTATATTTATTGTTTTACTAACGCCAATCGGCAATTTTGGAGGTATGTACACAAATGCATATAGATGACAACAGACTCTCTTTGGATAAAAAGATCAGTAAATTGAAGTAACGTATCTGTATTATATGATTTAACATAAACATTAATCTGAAATAATACATATCTATAATCCATAAACATAAAAAATACACTACTGATTAAATTTATGAAATCAAGATAAATATACGTGAAGTTTAGTAAAACAAATCGTTTGCGATGAGTATATATAAGCTAAACAGCACTGCTAATTATTTACATTGTATTATCCAGTGAATCTTTAAACAATTAAACTCAAAATGAAAATTGTAAGAATTGTATTTGGTTTGGCATTAGCCTGTTTGGCTAAGGTAAGAAATATTTGACAATCCTAAGGTACCTGAATATTATCTAATAAACATTTTATTCATAAGGTCGAAGCAACTCCTTGTGGTGGATTTCCATACCTTCCAGATCTTTGTCTAGATCTTGCGCCACCTGCAATACCATGTCCTCTTCCTCTTCCTCTTCCTCTTCCTTGCTTACCACCATGTCCACCTCCATGTGTTCCGGCTCCAAAATTGATACCAGTACCACTATCACCTCTACCTTGTTTCTCTATTCCACCATTATGTCCACCATGCCTACCACCTTTACCACTCCCCTGCTCATCACCACCACCACCACCACCACCATGCTTCCTGCCAGCACTACAAAGTCCTCTCCCTCTTCCACTACCTTGCTTACCACCATGTCCACTTCCTTGTCCAGCACCACCATGTGTTCCACTACCTAAGTTGATACCAGTACCACTATCACCTTTACCTTGTTTTTCTATTCCACCATTATGTCCACCATGCCTGCCACCTTTACCACTCCCTTGCTTACCACCCCCACCACCACCATGCTTCCTGCCAGCACCACCATGTCCTCTCCCTCTTCCACTACCTTGCTTACCACCATGCCCCCTTCCTTGTCTAGCACCTCCATGTGTTCCACCGCCAAAGTTGATACCCGTACCACTATCACTTCTACCGTGTTTCTCTATTCCACCATTATGTCCACCTTGTCCACCATTATGTCCAACTTGTCCACCACCTCCTTGCTTTTGTTAATAAGGCTTGACCTTATTTGTTGATTTTAGTTATGTTTTTACTGTTTAATATGGTATCATATTATATCCACCAACTTAACAAAAACTGGATATTATAATTATAAACCAAAAATACCGTTCTATAATATGTATCTACATGTTGGAAACAAAATTTAAATTTTTAAATTTTTAATTAATTTAAAAACTATATAAGAGTCGAATTATGTGTTCGTCCTTTTTTGGGTGCCATTTATATCACATCGTTGTATTAAATAGGCAAATCGTATGTAATATAATCTTGTTCAATTTTGTAAATATAACATTATACTCTATACAACTTGTTGATAATCATTTAGTTAAAATTTTAATAATATTATCATATTTTATAATATTATGTTGGTATGTACAACTCGTAAAAATATAAATATTTGAGTAAAATAATTGTAATAACATGGTTTACACTTGAAGTATACACCCGCTATAGACGAAGTACTCGCAGTACATCCATAAATGTCCACTAGTAAAACATTTTTTACTTTTAGTAGATTATAATTTATAAGTACGAAATCGGAAATATGTATAAATAGGTATTTGTGTCTGTAAAGTCTATTAAATGTAAAACATCCATCACTTTTGCTGTCATGTAACTATAGAAGATAATAATACAGTCTACCTAATCATCAGATACATTGATATAATGTGGTTTTATATTTAAAATTATTAAGTATCTAGTAACAACATGCTTATATATTAATACTCATTGGATGAATTATTTGGTTAATAATTAAAAATAAATTATAGTTTCTATTAAAATTGATTTCATCATTATTCTTACGGCATAAAATAAAAATATTGGAAATATTAATTTCAAATGTGCTAAATATGAAACTTGATTCATTAATTTAAGAATCCTGAATATAGCACTTGATCGGTTTATTTACAGGGCACAGATAAAAACATAATATATTATATATATATTTTTTTTATGGTTTAATTTCTAGTAATAAATAATTACTTTGAAACATATCGTGATTCGAATAGGCAGGTAGGTAATTGTGGTAGGTTCACTCCGATTTCTACCGAAGATTGCTATAAATCTCGAAGTTACAAATTTTTTAATTATCAGTAACACGTATTACGATAAATATTTGTAAATGGACTTTTTTAATTCATTGACGCAGAGGAGAATAAACATTATTGTTGCATGATTCACCAACATACTGGCTACTGTCTTGCTGAATGTCACTGATGGTTATCCGTCCGAAAAGTAGGTAATGGCCACAGTGTAAGAAAAAATTCACTATCAAAACAACTTGTAGCTGAACTACTAACTATGCTATATAATACAATATAACACCACACATACATAATATATATGTACCGCTAAGGATTTAATTACCATCCACAACCAGAGCGTATAGCGAGATAAATATTTGTATGTTGTTACGTAACTAAAAAAACAATTAATTTTCTTTTATACGGACAGCTTTTGTTTTGAAATGTGTTATGATCATGATTTTTTCTTATTATTTTGTAAATACAAGTTTAATATGCAACAAAAAATACTAAAAAAATAATGATTACCTATGAAAATAATAATAATTTATAAGGTAATGCAGAAACTAGGTGTTTGGGTGGTAGATATAAGTGTATTAATTTATTATAATGACTGGCTTGAAAACGTGTTACCTATTTAGTGACAATCAATATAAGGTAATAAAAATGTTGGAACATTTAAAATAACCCCCACCTAAAGAAATGGATTTTCCTAAAAAAAAAAAAATAATGCACAGGAAAAACAGAGATCATCCTGAAAAATCAATACATTTATTTTGGTGTCGCTAAGAATAATAATTTTGAACAAAATGTATAGTACCTATATTATATCTTTAAAAAAACATAAAATGTATTATAATAACACAAACAAAACAGTTTTTTTTTACACTGTTTATTGTGAAAGAATGCAATTTTGTTGATAATTCGTGATGTAGACTGCGTGAACGTTTCAGTCACAGCTCTAAAGGGGGAAATTGTTTGTGAAAACAAAACTTTTTTGTTTAAGAAATTTAACACCTTCAATACGTGTGAGACAAATATGACAAATTAAATTGCATTGTTAACTTAACAATTTTATCATAATTTGTGTCTTTGTCAGAAATATGAATGAAATCATAGTATTTATGGTCTAAGAAATTATTGGCTATTGTATAGAGTGAATTTTAAGTTTAACCATACTGAATTAAAATATATAGGTACCCACTTGTGGATTGATAATTTATAAAATATATGAGTAGATACTAGATAGGTTACAACGAATGTATAAAACATTTTTTTCAAACGATAAAACTAACTATAGTTTAACTACGGCAATTGTAAAAAAACGAAATTAAAAAACTAAGTTTCTATATCATATTTGTATAATTTATTTATACTTAAAAAAAAATTGTATAAGTGTGTATCCGTTTTACGATGCTGTGAGTTATAACAATTGAATCATTCATTCAAAGCATTCATATAGCTAATTATACTAAAATGATTCATAAATACTTAAATGATATCTCTCATACAGGCACTAAGTTTCACGTACCAATGACCTTGTAAATTTAAGTATAATAAAATATGATTGTAGTTTTTTATTTTACATTTATTATAATGTTGTTATACCATGTTATGACTGATGCAATTATTGATTTTATCACAACAACTATGTTTTTATTCGAATAAAAACCATACCCACATTATAGATGGGTAAGATCGACGCAGGCTTATACATTTTTAAACCTATGTAATAATATGTAGTTGTACAAGAATTAATAACATTAAACCATTTGTTTTTTTTACACCATAACCACGGCTTAGTTTTAAGACAATAACAGAGTATACAGAGTATGTAAGTCTATTGTCTAACACTATTCGTTCGTTCTGTTTTCTGAACCGTTTAATTACACTCGAAGTGAAAATTATACATTACAATAATTATACATATTTTGAAAACGTCGTAAATCAATTTTCACCACAGCATTGTGAAGCAGATGAATCCCGGTTGAGCGATCACGCGGAACTGCGGACACCGCGCCGCGCTTTATACGATCCTTTCTTGCACCCGGGTCGTACTCAGTCGTACGACAGATTGTACAACTTTGTTTGATACGATTTCACGAACAATTATCGTAACGTGTACCTATGGTATTGGTGTTCAGCGTCTAGTACGATTAGATGAATAGTTAATATTTGCATACAATCTATACGAGTTCACCAAACGACGAATAACGTGTTTTGATTAGGTAGGAATGATGAGTTGTATAACTTATAGTACGACGAGTCGTATGCATGCGCGTAGTTTATCGAGTATTGCAAGTTCGTACGACTATTAGTTCGTACGATTGGTTTACGATTTGTCGTACGATTATGCGTGTACCGTGTATGGTATGTCAAGACGTGACGATCTGTTGACAGTAGAACGGCAAGTCACTCGACGTAAGTGCAAGTTGGGAGTCAATCTTGGAGATGCCCAGGAATTTTCAATGGGGCGTGGTGGAGTGGGGTTGGGTGTTATAACTAATAATATTTTTAAATGAATTGTGCAGGTGGTATTAGTGTAATACCGATGACGCGAATAAGGGGATTTATCGGACAATATGTGGGGATATAACTACTATAACTACTACTTAACCACTCCTCCGGGACACGACACTGGTCCTGAGTCCAGATTCCACGTTTGTATTATTGGTCCCTGAAAAAGTCAGCAATACTCGCAAAATCGATTTCCATGGATGATGGAATCTTATTGAACCCGAATTCGCAGGTACAGTTCTGTGTAGGTAGTAAGTTAGTTATAGATGATATGTGTTATGGTACTGGAAGAAACCTGTTAGACGTGAATGCTGATGTAATCATCATTCATGATAATATTAAAGACGCTTCAACGACAGTTGTGTATCTATATATATATATATATATATCGAGGACCGACAGTCCTGAGTATACTATTATTACACACGAAAACGTAATTGGTGTATAATGTTACTGTAATATAAGTGATTATTAAGTTATTGTAGTCCATTAATAACACAAAAATGTTTAGTTCGGTTTTAGAAAAGAATTTGTTATTTAATCTAAAAAAATATTGTGATAGCGACTGAAGAACTATTATATTGTAGTATTATACTTTCTAATTTTCTATACTGCACACGTCATAAACCTATTATAGTGTAGATAATAACACGTTGTTGTCTTGCAGCAATTAAAATGTCGGTAGGTCTTGGCTCTGCAATCATATTATTTTATTAAGCGTTTATTAACGTTCAAATTGAAATTAAATCAACCTCGCCGGAGTCTGTTTATGTATTATAATACATACCTAACCTGGTATGATTTAATATTATGGATTTTAATTTTGGGGTCTAAACGACGACGGTATGCAAACGTTAAAGACGAATCTAAGGACGTCTAGGTACTAGTGCAATATTATCACTGAAAACACCGTAGCTGAAGGCCGACCCGTCAGCAATCTAACGATTTTAATGGATATTAAACGCTGTTTTTGTGGATACCTACTACGCTTAACCTACATTTCGTTTCAAAACAAGTGCGTCGGATATAGATATAATTACCTATGTAATTCTACACTGTTATTATAACCGTTCATATTTCAATATCCGTTCCAAAGTCAAAACACCGTAACTCCGCTGCCGCGATCTTGTGTGTGCTGTACGGTATTTTTGTTGAACTCCAGTCAACGTATATCATTAAACCCAATATGTTTACGATTAATGATAGGTACCTATATATATATATATATATATTAATCCATAATGCTTGATATTATTATCCACATGATAATATTATACGTATTTTGAGCCGAACATGATACACGACGACTTAGGGACTTGCCTACGTTTTAAGGTTAACAATTTTTACTCGGCATAATATTATACCTAACGACCGAATCGGATTATAAATTATAAATTATTATTATAACTCAAAGCGCTGAATGACAACACGTTTTGGTTACGTGCGTATTTTCGTCAGTTTGACTTTTACACACAGACTATTATAACATTATAGTTATGAATAATATATTATCAGTATGTTTTACCTACATAATAATTA